AAAAACTTTAGCAAATAGAGAACAAAACTTCAGCTAACAAATAAAAACTTCAACACACTTGGTTCAGCAATTTTTGCTACTTCACGCCCGTCTACTAGAATGCTGAAGTTTGCGTGATTGCTTTTGCTACTTCAGGCCCGTATGCTGAAGTTACGCAAAAAAGTGGGTACACTTCCAATTTTTTTTTTTTGCAAAGCGGGTACAAGTTAAAACGTGACCCAAAAAGCGTATATAGATGCAAATGCCTCCGATTACTCCCAAATTCTGTCACAATGAACGTTTAAACCTTGATATAACACAAGTGAGATAAGTGCATTATCTAACACTATGTACATTTTTTTCCTTTTTGTTGTTTACAAGACTTATAAGTTACATATGATAACTATATATAGATTACAATGTAGGACGGAAAATCCAGCCATTTACTATCTATTTTATTTGTTCTCGGGTGCTCATCGAGCGGAATAGCATCTTGCTTGTGTTTCTAGAAAATGCTTAAAATAAACATATAAAACTAGACATGCCTTTTTAAGAATGCTATATGAAAAGATACCACGTAATGATTCTGAAACTGACTTTGAGACCTGTAATGTTGCATATATGGTACAATTGCCTCTTAACACTTTTCATGAAATTTATATTCCCTGTGATTCACTTTGTTTGGTACAACCAATCTGGTCGATTCATAGTAGTGCCTTCAAATATTCGTTTTGTACATACTCAGATTAAGTGTACTTCAACAATCAGAACTTTGTAGGAAAAGTGGGTTCAGCCAAAGCATTGGTGCACTGAGGTGTTTTGCACTTAAAGTTGTATTATATATATGCTGATTGCTGAATAATATGAATTAAACAAAGTACATTTGATTCTAGCTGCTAGTGTATATGTCTTTTGTTATTTTGGAATAAGAAGATGTACATGTAAATAGGGCACATGTCATCAGTCATCTCCAGTTAACTAGACAACTGTAACACAAAGGCCAAAAGGGATTGATAGAAAATAATGAGAACATTTATTACTTTTTTGTGGTAATTCAAAATCTGTTTAAAGTATGGCCACATTAGCTAGAACCATCTTATATTGGTCTGAGTTTTATGAACCACACCTATGACCTAACCAGTTAGTACAATGCACTTTGTCAAAATAAGTCATTTTTAACAAACCTTCAACACTTACAACCTAGTTCTAACGGTAATAGTGACACACGCGATATGAGTAAGGTCAATTCTTACAAACCTTCAACATTTAATTTTTCATTTGTTTAAATTGGTTTAAAACTATAAAAAGATACCGTTAATAGAAAGACATAAGGTGGAAGAACCTATTATGTGTCACACGACTAAACCTATAGGAATATATAAGTTCTTTTTCTTTTTAATTAGGCAAAATGGGGTAAAAAGAAAGCCAATGCGACATATCTTAATTTTATTTACTATTATACATTGGAGTTATTCATGGGGTTGGATATGAGCTACGAGTATGGCCGATTCATTAGTGATGACTCAAATTCTGTATATGTGTCAAGAAATATATTATATATGTACAAATATTGAAAGTAAAACACAATAATCCAAATGGTAAGTGGATTCAACAGATGATTTAATAATAAGAAAGGAATGAATAACTCTAAAATATAATAAAAATTTAAATTAAAGTATTTCGTATAATAAAAAATAAATTTGCATTTTCCCTCTTTAATTAACAGAATAGAAGAATCTTTATTGCGTGAGAGTTCGTGAAAATGCTAACCAAAAAATATAAGACATACCAGGGGAGGTAGTCTTTCGGATACGGGTTTGACCGAACTCAGTAACTTTTATTCAAATTTTGTATTTATATTTAAAAATTATTTAGTTATATATAAATTATTAATTTAAAATTTTGTAATTTAAAGAATTAGATAACTAAATCCATAAAGATCAAATTTTAGTTATGAGTGTCAAATCCGCTTACTAGGCAGAGGGTCAACCAAAAGGTACCAAAGAGGCAAAGACTATAATTTGACTTGAGTCTAGAACCTGGGAGTATCAAAAATACCAAGTCCGTACGCGTCAAGTTAGTGCCGTCAACAATACCGAGTAACTGACTCAGCTGTGTCTTTCCCGCTGAATCCATCAAATCTCACGCACGTTATTAATTGGTGTCTCTATTTTGAGTCGGTCGAATGTTTCACTGTTTTTGCCAACTTGGTATGTACTATAATAAACTAATGATTGCATAACATTTCCCCTCGTGGGCACATTTCTTTTCATAAATCAGCACATGTTAAATATGCTTCCACATTTTTAATTTATGCACGTGGTTTCTTTCTGTCGACATTAAAAATGATCTTTTTAAATCCTTTTGTCAAGTATTGTGGGCCATCGTGACTATCTAGCTTGCCATCAAAATCACCAGGTGATTTGTATCTGTGTCTTCTGACCCCACTTTTCAATTTTTTAAACTTTAGATAAAAGCAAATTTAATATTTAAATTTAATCAGTCTGTATTAATGCATTTTACTTTTAAATTATGATTCAAAATTTAGTAGTTATTGAAATATTCATGTTAAATATCAAATACAGTGAAACAACAGTTGTACATAACAGTCATTCAATATAAAAGTCAAGTATTTTCCGGAACCAATTATTATGTTATATTATAATATATTGTAGCTCTATATGACTTGAAATAGGGGAAGTAATTTTAAAAACAAAAATATATTCACATTAATTCCTCATAATTTTTACATTTCACTCGACTAATATGCCGAATTACATACGGCACAACCCGAAAATGAGTAGAAAATTACTGCTAGTTTTTCCTTATGTGCGAGAGCCCAATTTGTTAAAATACTATAGGGCAAAGCACCCTAATACACTATACGAGTAATTTTTTTAAAAAACTGAAACTTAAACGCTGTGAACATTCCCGCCAGTAGAGTCAGAAGAATCACCATTGAAATTCATCATCGTCAACCAATCTTGAATCTCATTATCCCCCATCAGTTGATCCCAAATTTCATTTCCAAATTCAGTATTATTCCCTTGCTGCAACTGTGGCTCCGGCAATTGTTGAGGTGAAGAAGATGAAGCACTCTGTTGTTCTTGAATCTCAGTATAATCAGCAAATGAGAAATTTAACTTAGCTCTTGGACCCCTAAATTCAATAGCGGCTTTATCATAAGCTCTGGCTGCATCTTCTGCTGTATTAAAAGTTCCAAGCCAAACACGCGCAGCTTTCCTTGGATCTCGAATTTCTGCTGCCCATTTTCCCCATGGCCTCTGTCTCACTCCTCTGTAATTCTTCTTCTTCTTCTTAGTTACTGCAGTTGTAGTAGTACTATTCTTCTTGTTATCGTCAGCAGCGACAACAGCAGCAGCATTAGATGTTGTTCCGAAAATATCGCAGCCTAAACAACCTTTGATTCTGCAAAATGGACAAGGTTCTTGTTCTGCTGGGACACCTAAAATAGGTGACACCACATTTCCTTGTTCAATTGTAGAC